GAACAATACAATTACGTCTAATTTCCCATATTTGTAATTTTGCATTGACGTCTAAATTGGGGCCTAGGAAATTAGACGAAAAGCAAATTAGACCTGACAAACAAAAACGAATTTAGACGTCGATGCAAAATTACAAATATGGGGAATTAGACGTAATTGTATTGTTCGTGCCTGAAACTTGTTTACCGACCACATTTAACTTTCATTCAGCTTTCTTAAATGCAAATCAACTTCTCACATGCCGCAATTTTCACATGCCTCAATTGTATAATTTATGCATTTCAAAAATGTTTTATAATCTTGAAATTAACATTCTATAAATCAATTGAGATAAATATTTTGATATGCAATGGGATCATATATTACTTCTGTAGTTATGAAAACTTGTCTTAAGCAATAAGTTTTGTTAGCCCTTTGCTTTCCGTCTAAAAGGCTAGTTTTCCGAAAATAATTTAACGTCTAACTTCGTTTTTGTTGGCCACATTTAATTTGCTAATCGTCTAATTTCCTAGGCCCCATTAGAAAAAGGTTGATCGTATTTCCAATTGTTTAAAAGCAAGCACCCCCCATCAATTTGACATTTTCAAAGATTTAATTGACTTAAGCCATGTGACACGCAACCTGGTTGATTTGGGCTTAACAGCGCTCAACAGAAAATTAATTGTAACCCGCGATCATTTTTCACACTTAGAAACAGCTGATTTGCGTCCATTTTCTCATATTTGTAGTTTTGGAAAAACTTCAATATTCCTTTCAATTGGTCGTGTCTAAGTTGCAAACTTACTCTTCGGCACTTCGACCCTTAACCCGTTTTTGTTCAGCTATTTAAAAGTAATATTATCTTCTGGTTGATATTTCTCAAAGCGACATCAAACTTTTCAGGGTTAAAATCAAATAAAAGCTCAAAGATATTTCGTTGAAATCTCAGCCAATGAAATTACGGCAACAACATTTATTTTCAAAAATTGGACCGAATAATATATTTGAATGACAAACTAACATTTAAAAAAACCTTAGCAGACTATTTCTGCTATTTGGTCAGCGGTTTCGTTTCCCTATTATCTTCGGTCATTGAAAAATCAGACAAAGCCTAGACGGGATTCAGGGTTAAATTAGAGTGGGATGAAAATTAAGCTTGATAAAACAAAATGACGAAAGGCAAAAGAAATTGTTAATACCGTACGTTCTTTGTGTAATTTTAAGCTTGAAAAAATTCGTGAAGAAATTAAAAAAGAAGAAAACACAATATAAAACTGTTGGATCATGATGAAATTGATTTTCTTTTATCAGCTTTAGAAAAAAGTAATTTTAATTGAAAACAAACAAAATAAAAGTTCAAGGACATCTGTAAGCGTCAATAGACGTAGATTAAATAAATTATTGAAAAAAATACTGAATAAATAGGCTTACAGCAGGCTGCATTTTTCACAATGGATGCAAAAACAAAAGCTTTATTTGATGCGTATTTTTAAATTTTCTGACCAAGATAATGTGACTGAACGCTTAATAAAAAATGATTTTTTTTTGGTCAAAAAGTTGTAAATGTATGCTCTAAGTCTTTCAATAACCTTATGAATTGTCGCCAAATGATTACTGTTTAGAAAAAAATTTGATAAATAAATTTCAAATGTAGCAAAACTTGAATTTGTGTGCCCACAGATTTCAATTTGATTTTTGGTTTGGACTAGGATCAATATGCTCGCACAAATAGAAAATAAAAAAATTGGGTTCTTTATGACATTTTTGGTTGAATAAAATAATTATTTAGTGGTATTTTTGCTTCATAAAATTGCCCGGGCTGACAAGAAATGAATTGCAATCGGTGTTATACACATAATGTAGCGATGATTTAAAAAAAATTATTTGTTTCGATTCAAAATCTATTTGGTTTGTAAAAATGTAGCTGAAATAATCGATTTTAATCAATTTTAAATCAATATAAATCCATTTGTCACTCTTTTTTAGTTTCATTTCCATGTCTTTCGAGTTACAAAAAAATCATTATAAATCTGCTTAAATTGATTGATGTTAACTTTTTTGGATACTCATTTTATACAGATGGTATAAGCTGTCGGTTTATAGCGAGATTTTCTCGTTTATCAAAAAAAGTAGAAAATGGTAGTCAAATTATACGTTATGCTTTTCATTTTAAATTCGTGTTGATGTTTGGTCTGAAAATTTACAAGATAATTAACATATATATTTTCTGCACCAAAAATGAATAAATTTTGTTGTAAAGTGAGTTTTTCACTTATATGTAATTTACTTAACATTATTGCGCATAGAATCTTGAAAATTACAATTGAGAAAATTGTGCTTGAATACGTTTTTGATCCGCGGGAGCCCTTAGATTTGCAAAACCCGAAAATGTTTTCCTTTTGAATCAAAAAGACTAGTTACAAAATATCACTTTCGCTGAAAATTTGATGAATTTCACTGCCTTGCTAAAAAGCATGTTAATCGATTTAAATCAGTTTTTAGGCAATGAAAACGATATTATTTTCTACCGATTTTCATGCAGTATATTATCAGTAAAAAAATCGATTTAAAATGATTTCAATCTCAAGATTTTCAGTACGGGAGGCAACTTAATAACATTTGTCTGTCACTCTTATTGGTGGTTAGTGATTGAATAGTGACAAGCCGACATGAAGCACACGCGAGACCTTCAAAATATTAGGTTTCAAGTAATTCCTTAATTTTGGTTCTGTTAAAGGTGATTTTTGCTTTTCTCTCAATTCTGTTTTGCTAAGTGCAGCTTTGCCTATTAGTAGACATTGTAATCAAACCGTTTAGATTTATTTAGGATTTAACAACTATTTTAAAAGCAAGTTAGTTATTGCAAACTTAATAAAAAGCAACTAGATTCACTACTGAATGTGAACAACCGATTGTTCAAATTCATGTACTTAAACGCTATCTAAAAATTTTCGCTGGAAACAATTTCTGGTATTTTTTTCTTTCAAAATAGGTGCAATTACAATGTTTTCGTGAAAGAAAGATCAAAATCTGAACAACCAGTTTAATATTTTAAAAAGCCAAAACTTGTAACAAACAACCATTTTGTACAACTCGTGACACAGTTTGCTCATTCACGGGTGACAGGACTCGAACCTATCTCTGAGATCGCCAATTAGAATTCTAGCAATCTCTTGGAATAAATAGGTTAATTTTGTTTTAGTTTTAACAGCTTACTCTATTTTTCAATTGCTTTAGATAATAGCATCGTTGTTGTTTCGCTGCAATCTTTGTCACGTTCTTTTTGCGCCATTTGCGATTTCACCATTCAACCGCACCGAGCGCTCATGGGTTGTAATCAGTTATAATGGATTCCCGAGACAAAAAAATCCATTATAATCCATTACAGATGTAAAATTCAGGCGATGAATTTGATTATATTGCCATTAGACTCGATTAATTTTGAAAACAAAAATATGATCCTTCATAGTCAATTATAATTGAATATTATCCTTTAATTTTGGCAGGTAAATAGATTTTTTGCCAAAAAAATACAATATAGTCGATAATTTTTGAGATGAAAATCCATTATAATTCATTATAATCGATTATAATCGATTATATTTTTTGAACTAAATTCGATTACTTTTGCAGAAATTTTGCAAAATTTACAAGAAATTTGCAAAATGTATGGCATGTCTTTTTTTAAATGCCATGTCTCAACGTCATCCCCTCAAATATTTTTTAACCTCCTCCCCAACTAAGTGGAGAGAGGGTAAACTGGGGGACTGGGGGCGGGGGTAAACTGGGGGGAGGGGTTGGGTAAACTGGGGGGGGGGGGGGGTTTGTCAATCATTAACCCCCTCCCCCAAAGTCTACCAATAAATAATCCCCTCATGTTCAACCATAAAGGGGGTGAACAAATGATGCTTGTGTTAAACTGGCAGGGAAGAGGGTGTGAACGAGGGGTGGGGGGGGGGGGGGGGGGGTAAAGTAAAAGGGGTGTAAACTGAGATGAATTTAAAAGTAGTGACAAAAAAAATTATTGTAAAATGTAACATTTTATGAAACTGCAGTAAATAGCACTAAACAGTTTTATGAAATATTTTATGAAATGCAACAATTTATGCAACTGAACTAAACAGGAAATGAGAGAGTTTTGAAAAACTTTCATGATTAACCTCTCAAAAAAATTCATTTTAATTGAATATAATTGATTATTATGGATTAAATTGGCATAAAAAATATAACGATTGTAATCCATTTTTAATGGATTATAATAGACTGTAATGGTTTATATTGACATAAAAATATTATGATTATAATCCATTCTTAATGAATTATGATCGATTATTTTGTAAGTTTATAGATACTGACCATATAATGACAATATAATCGATTATGATCCATGGGTGCTTGGTGCCGGCGAGAACTTAATTTGAGGGCTCTTTTCCAGTTTCCCCCTCCTTTCAAATTCAGTTTTGAAAAGCTTATTTAGCGTTATCATAATGCAATGATATTTGGCGTGGTGAACAAATCAACAATTGTGAACAGATTTGTTCTTCATAATTTACAGCGTAACATCACGCATTTAGCCATAATAACACGTAAATCAAACATAAAACTCGGTATTTTGAAAAGGGGGGAAACTGGAAGAGCCAATTTGAGTTCGTGTGAGCAAACGAATCTGAACTGAACTTTCAAAGAAATCAAAAATCTAACCGCTAAAAAATCAAATTTGATTATGAACTATACATTTGAAGACTTTCCGAAAAAAACGACAGAAAAGCCACATGTCTTAAATAAGTTTCCCAATTTCTTTCGTTAGTTGACACTTAAAAAAAACTTGAAAAATAATAAGTGGGGTAATTTCAATTGAAATTACCCCACTTATTGTTTTTCAAGTTCTTTCAAGTGTCACCTAACGAAAAAAAATTAGCGAACTTATTAAAGACGTGTGGCTTTTCTAGCGTTTTTTTCTAAAAGTCTTCACATGTAGTTCATAATCAAATTTGATTTTTTGCAGATAATTAGACACTCACATCTTTAAACGTGTAACTCATCCCCTCCTGTTGGGCTAAAAGAGCGTCTTGAGTGATGATCACAATACACACCAACTCCCCCTCCAGAATCAACACTCGTCTGTGATTGGCCAATTCAGTACTACTCCCTCCTCCTACTACTTCAGAGCTACCGCTAGAGGGCGAGAAGGAGGAAGAGGTTTGAGAGGGGGAATTATTGTTGACTATTGAGTACACTTGATGGGCTCTTTCTTCGGTGGCCATGACGAAACGACGCGCCAAGTCTTCCAAGTCGGACACAATTCTAAATGAAATAACTCTTCATTATTCTCGTTCTGAGACATCTGAAACAAGGCTATTTAGCAGAGTTATGGCGCTCTCAAGTGACGTTATTGTTGAAGATTTCCATGTTTCTAAATTTGTTTGTGTATTGACCTCATTTTGAAACAATTTATTATAACGATTACTGTAAATCAGATGAAAAAGTTGCAAAGTTTAAATTAGTTCAGTGCTTGAAAAATCTGACTGCTCTTTAACCTGTTTGGAATATTTTTCTTTTAAGCTTTAATGAGAGGGACTCAAACAACAAACTGAAAAACTACAATTTTTTCCTTGTACAGGGTCTAATAAAAAATGTATTTCGCGTCTATAATTTCATTTAAAGCGAGCCGCTATTCAATTCGAAATAATTTTTGAGCCGGATGAATTTGCTAAGAAATCTCAAAAAATAGAGAAAAATTTATTTTCAAATGTAGCTTTACAAAAACAAATTGCAGGTGAACATTTTATGCTTGAGTTAAAATTTGCGTTGGGCGAAGCAGTATTTTTAAAATGATACTGATTTTTTTGCCAAAAAGTTGATAATTTGAGTGCCTGAATTTCAATAAAAAATATACAACGCAAAGATTTGTCTTTCCGTCAAAAAATGCAACAATACTTATTTGATTTTTTAAGCTAGCAGCCGGTTGTAAACAGGGGCGGATCTAGGATTTTCTCGAGGGGGGGGGGGGGGCGGATTTTCAAAAAAAAATCGAAAATTTTGACGACCTTTTTTTTTAGGTCGACCAAATTGATTTTTTGAGCTCTCCCAAAGCACTGTTTTGCCCCTGTTTTGGCAAAATTTTGTGCGCCGCAGGCAAATTTTTGAAAAAACAGCCAAAAAAGCCCGTTTTTGGGCACTTTTTGAAAAATTTTGACAAAAAAATCGCGTTTTTTTTGGCGCGCGCTCCTCCTCAAAGTTAGTATATATTGGCGCCAAAGGCGCCTTTAAAAAAATTTTAGGATCGGTCGGCAAAAAATGGATTTCTGAAAAGTATCAAAGGGGGGACCCTTTGGGTCGGCAGGGGGTCAAATCCCTGAGGAAAAGGCCAATAGCCCAACCCCCGCCCCCCCCCCCTAAATCCGCCCCTGGTTGTAAATATACTTATGAATCTTTTGAATCAAATAGTTGTTGCTTTTTGAATGAATTCAATTGATTGTATTAAATTTTGAAAAAGAAACTAGAAAACATGGATTGAGCTCAAATTGGTACTTAGTCGAAATTAACTGTGAATTATATTTTTATTCCCAAACTATTCCAATTTGCCTTTGCAATTTTTTATAAATAGATCTGTTACCAGATATCGTTTGGACACAACTTTTTTTGATTATTATGGTTATTATGATTGTTATTAATTTTATTATTGTGATTATTATTATCATGATTATCATCATCCTTATTATTATGATTATTTTTAACTTCGAGAAAAGCGAAACAACGCAGTTATAATTTTCAATAACTTTTTAGATATATGATGCGAGATGAAAACTTTTCTTAAAACAGGTGCAAAATTATAAAGCATCTGAAGAACGCAAAACTAAAAAAAGTTTCTGTCAGGTGACTTCCTTTCTACTTGTTATATTTTGTTTGCAGACTAAAAAATTAATATTCGGAAGAACAATCAGGGGCTAGCATTTTACCAAAAATATATCAATAGAGTAGTTGGAGGTATAGCCATTAATTTGTTATTCAAAACCCAAACAGCGATCGATGGTTTTAAGACAGAATGTTCATATTTAAAATCAAAACATTTTTTATAATTATTTAATAGGACTCAAGATGAAACCTGTTCAGGTTGACCCGATGAAGGAAAAATCAAAAGTTTTCTGTTTTTACATCTGCTATTTTGTGACAATTTTTTTAGAATTTCAGCTACCCATCTATCAATGGGCTCACAATTAGAAGAATTTTGCAATAAACTTCAAATTTTTCATTGCAATAAGTAGAACTATCCGAAAAAAGAAACTAATGAAAAATCCGGTTAACGATAAAAAAAATTGTACTCAAAGCTGAAACAGTAGTTTCAAAAAAATAATAAATAAAAAAGTTTTTTTTTAAATAACAGCGAGGGAATCAATTTGACTTTATTAAATTTTGCATTTAAGCTACTGCTAAAAAATTCAAGCTGAAAACAAATTCACAACTGTATTCAATTATTGCATACAAACATAGCCGACAGACAATTGGAAAAAAGCCAATGAACGCAAGGAAACAAGAAAGCTGACCTCGTGTTTTGGAAAAATCGTCACTTTCCAAATTCAGAGGAAAAAAGATGGCTTTAAAACTATCGAAGTTCAGAAATAGTTTTTGTGGACACCTTTTTGACAAATTGAAACGAACGTAAGAAAACTGGATTAATAGGTAAAAATTTAGTTCCGCTGTGAAATCTAACATTAAAATCCACTTTCAGGACCCAGTTTTAATTATTGGTGAATATAGCTAACAAACAATTGGAAAAGAGTCCTTGAACGTAAGCAAACATATAAATTTTTCAAATTTGAAGAGATGGCCTTAAAACTTTTTGAATTTCTAGAACATTTTATGACAGACAATTTTTTGATAATATACCCAAATCTGAAAAAACGGATCAAAAGAAAAAAAATGTTTCACTGGGAAATCCGGAAATTGAAATTCACTTTCGAAACTAGAAGTCAATCACGTTTCTTCTGACCTTTACACTTTTTCTAATCGATAATGGAGTTAACTTTTCTCTTAACAAAGATAAAGAGCTGAACTTAAATAAAATCAAAAGTCAACTGGCAAAAAATAGAGCCTGCACCATTTTTTAAGACTTTTTCTAAAAATCGAAAGAAATTTATCGCGATCAATATAAGAAATATCAGTACGTTCATCGGCTCTTAATTATTAGATTATAAAAATTTAGAACTCGAATGAAAACAGTTTTCAGCTTTGAAATGGCTGCTGACCAAAAACAACTTCAGTCTGTTTCAATAAACATTATTTTTTATCGCGAACGTTCATTTCTTCCAAACAAAGGTTTCAAGGCCATTCAGGAAATTTAGCAAAATTAGCTTGTAAATTGTTGCGTTCAGATATATATATCTGAACGCAACGCTTGAACTGTGTGTGCATTTTGGCTGAGGATGTCATTATACTGAGAAAGTCAATATAAAACATGTTTTCAACAAATTGAGTGAAATTGATTTTCGTACCGATTGTGTTAATACTGATCTACCAAGAAAATGTGCTCATTAAGTGTTAAAAAAGGAAACTAAACACAAACCCCATTCAGAAAAAGGAAGGATGCAATTGGTAATCAAGACTCCGGGAAAACACTAAGCTTCCACATCGAATCAATTAGACGGGAGAACAGTAGTTTTGAAAAGATTATTTAGAAAAGGATCAAATTACTCTGCCCATTTTTTAGCTTTCCAATTTTTAGTTTCTCAATTGCCAATAAAGAGCCTAATTTCCACTCGACTTTCAACACGAATACAAATTTAAAAAGTCACGCCAATAAAAAGAGAAAAAAATCTGGAATACTTTCGCGGTCGTTGCGTAAGTTGCTTTGAAGTTTCGGGCTACAGCTATCCTTGCAATAACACAAATTAACAAAAACAAAATTATTTTTTTTGAAAAAGATCTTCTTTCAAAATTATTTTTGGTTGCTTTTAAAACTACTGACGAGCCTAATGTAAAATGATTCGATATGGACAGGAAAAAAATAAAAATTATCCGGTTTTGTAAAAGGAATTCAATCATAATAATTAAGTTGATTCGCTCTAAGATAAAAATGCGTCTAAAAAACAAAGTTTTCCAAGCAATTAATCGTTTATTGTTATTCTGACCCCAAATAAACACTCTGAAACCTTCAAAACGTTTCTGGCTCAGTACCTGTCGCATGTTTTTGAAGTATTATTTTCTTTTTACTTGTTATAGAGTGAGAGGAACAAAGAAGTATTGGCAAATTTAAAGGGTTGATTTTTTAAGACGTGTTTACTACAAATCAGATATTCAGAGCATTAGGTACAATGCTCAAAAAGTAAGACAAAAGTCATGGCTGAGCATCGAAGAAAAATTGTCGAGAAAACTCGGAGAGCTGTTAGCATGTTTTTGAATTACTTTTTTTCACTTTTTTTCGTTTTTTTTTGAAAATCCGCCACCTTCTCGAGAAAAGAAAGTTTGGATCGACCCCTGATTGTATCACTGAAGATTGCTCAAATTAAAGAAGTTCAATTGCGAGGAAATCTTTTAAACTCAGCACAGGCTTTTTTGGAAAATTTGTGAAAAAACGGATCACGTTACATTTACACTTCCGCTGTTCGATAGTCGAGTTCACCTTCCTTTCGAAAAATAAATGAGCTGAAATTAAAAAGGAATGAAAATTCAAACAACGAAAAAGTAAACTTGAGCCTGAAAAAATTTTAAAATGATATAGCCTGATATAAGAATCTGAATTACGTTCATCGACTCTTTAAAACAATCTTTGCAATCGTTTTCTCTGTCGCTAATTGTGATGACAATTGGTTAAGTTTTGATGATGATGGATGAGCCTATTTAAAAGGATCTAGTTGTTTTCTCAGCCCTGGTTGGCCACCTTTTCAAAGCTCGTCGCAGAAACCGTAAGAGTTTAGCGAGGGCCTAATATGTATTTTTTTAAATTTTTGTTCATGCCAGAAACCAAATGAAAACCTAGCTAAGAACTTTAGCTTCCCAAAAACTCTTCTAAGCGCGAAGCTTCAAGCTTCTGTTGGTTCTTTAGACCTTTTCAAACAGTTTTTTCACTATTCATTTGTCAAAAAATCACATGGATCACAACTGGGAGTGGATCTAGGGTTTTTTCGATGGAGGATTTTCAAAAATTTTGTCGAATAAATTGATTTTCCAGGAACTCCCAGAACACTATAATGACCCTATTTTTAACATAAAATTTCCGCGGTAGGCAATTTATTGAAAAACAAGCCACAAAGTGCATTTTTAGGCAACAAAAGCATTTTTAGACACTTTTTGGAAAGTTTTGACAAAAAATAGACAGGGGGTCGAAACCCTGAAGGCTGGGGCGGGGCGGTGGGGGAGGGAGGGAGGGGGGTGGGTTTTTAGTGTGTCTGCACTCCTAAATTCGCTACTGGATCAGAAATAGGCGCAGAGAAAAAGTTAAAATGTACAGAACTGTTGCAGAACAATTTTGTTCATCTCATCAGTTAAAATCTCAGAGTTCTAACTTTTTTTGCCAAGACTGTAAAAATAAGCAAAATAATCCGACAACAATAGTACCTACGCATTTAGTTTTAAAATTTAAGTGAGCCAACTCATAAAGTTTGCAGAATTAGAGCAATGAGAAATTTAAGTGATTTTAGATTATAAAACTTAAAAAAAGAAGTGATTTCCGAATTAGAATCACTAACGTTCGGCTAGTCGAGTAGTTCGCTTCCGCCTCAAAAATCACTTCGGGTTCTGCAGCCATCAGACTGTTCACTAACTGCACATGTTTCTGTGCACTCTTTCTGTCCGTGAGAGTAAATGCAGCTAAGAGATTATGCAATACTTGGGCTGTGTATCGAATTAAGTCAGTGGAAATTTCTTCTGGGATTGTTTCAGTCACTGTTTTCACCATGTCGTCAATTATGCTGTTTGCATCTCTCAGAGTTTTCGGCTCCTAGAACAAAATTATTTTTTCTAAAATGTTTTTTCTTCATTTTTTGGGCTGCGGAGGAATTTTTGAGTCTCTCCAACAAAAAAAACTTCACAACCCAATCTAAATACAAAAAAAAAATTGGCAGCTAGGTTCCATTTTTGTTCAAAAAAAATGCGCCAGACTGGGCTTTTTCGAAAAGATAGGAACACGAATGCGGACACTCATTGCAAACTCTTCGTTCTTTTTATTGCATAGAGGAATTATCTTTTTTTAAAATTTTTTTATTGATACTATAAACGTCTGAACTTTTGTTAAAATATAGAGTTTTCAATTAAAAAAGCAATGTTTGCCTCAAAAAAAATTTATTAAGCAAAATCTAAGGTGAGAAGTTATTTAATAAATAATTTATACAAAATTCGGTAATAAGTTAAAGAAAAACTCACATTTTGGCAGTACTTCGCGTTCACTTCCCCCCATGTCACTTCAATATGCCTGTGGGGGGACTCTCTAATCATACAGACTCGAGAAGCAAATCCGGTCTCGATGGCCTCTGCTCCCCCTGGACGTCTGGATCCATATGGACAGACTATTCTGGATGTGTTGCCTGCAGGTGTCTGGGGCCATCGGAGTGCCCCGATTGATTTCATGTCGAGAGGAGGGGTTGCAGCACAGGTTCCTGGAAACAGTTGAAGTAATAATAATGTAGTTCCTGCGAATCGCAGAAGAGCTATCAGTAGGCCTTAACAGTCCTGTCGAGGATAGTCCATTTGTATTATCTTCACACACTCCAGACAGTGTTATTTTGTTGAGCTAAGCTGTTTTTTTGCGACTCAAGGGCGTTTTTTTTGCGTCTAGAACTGGACTATTCTAAGTAATGATAATAATGTTCATAAAAAACAATAACCATAATAACTAGTTTTTAATTAACATTTATAATAATTAGGCTCCTGCGATCAGTTGCAGTAATAGTAACAATAAAATTCATAATTAATTTATGATTATTGATTTCTAATTAACATTTAAAAAATGTTAGGTTCCTGGAAACAGTTGAAGTAATGATAATAATAGGAAGATGCTGGGATTAGCTCCAAAAAGCATGCCAAGAGATTTTTAATTCTCAGAAAAAAGCTTCGCAAAATTCGAACTAGTTAACACACTGAAGGTGTCTATTTAGAAAAGGTTAAAATAAATTAGATTTAATATCAATTGAAACATCACTGATATGAAGCATCATTAGCAGAGAAAATCCGGGGTTGACAACAAAAGCAGTCATACAATTTTCATTTATGGAAAAACTACTTGTCACACAATTCCATTTGTGGAAAAAAATGCAGTCATACAGTTTCATTAATGGAAAAATTGCTGATTTATGCTGTTTTTATCCATTTTTTTTCTTCTATGTGAAAGTATGGAATTGTATGGAAAGCTTTTTTCCATAAATGAAAATTGTAAGAAATTGACTGCTTTTGTTGTCAACCCGGAGATTTTTTCTGCTAATGATGCTTCACATTAAGAATATTTCAATTGATATTAAATCTAATTTAACTTAACCTTCTCTAAATATCGATTCAGACACCTTCAGCGTGTATAGTATTTTGAATTTTACAAAGAATAAAAAAAATAATGTGGCATGTTTTTAGAAGCATAGACCGGTTACTGGAAGTCCATCCACGGAGCCAATCCTTGAGCCAGGTAAGGCCAGGGAAATAACCACTTTTAATGATTGCCTGCTCTTCTAAGAGTCCAAGGCTGGCTATCGGGAAGGATTTTTTTTTGCTATGGACCAGGTATTGAACGCCAAGATTTTGGCAATTTTTTAAGTTTCGAAAATAAGCAAGTGACTGAAAACCTGCACGCATGAGCTAATTAATTAAAGGTGAATCTACCCTGGTCAAAATTTCCTTATTATGTTTCTACCGAGTCGGGTCGGGTCGAACACATGTCAGAACTCGAACAAAATTACCAGGCCGAGACGGCCCTATGGTCAAACTCAGGGTCGACACATACTTTCGAGTTGGTCAAAACATCAGTTTCGATCTTTTCTATTTTGCGGCCCAAAACTATTGGCCCAAAACTATCTGTTTCAATTAAAAACGCTGAGATTTATTTTCTTTGATATTAGTTCGTACCAATCCGAATCGAGCATTATGAGCAAACTTCTTAAGCAAGGGTCAGTTTTTTGGGCCGTATAATAGGACAAATGCCCATCAATTACAACAGATGTTAAAATACAAGAATTAAAATTGAGAAATTATTCAACTCACTGAGATGTTGGCACTTGGATCCGTAGAACTCCTTGGGACACTCACAGACAAACCCCTCATGGTGTTGGGGGGACACGAAGCCCAAAGTGAGACACTTGCCCCCATTCTCACATAGGTTAAGTTTGCACTCTTTGTTAGATGTGCCGCAGTCGTCGCCTTGAAACAAAACTGTTGAAATAATATCAAATTAATATATATTATATTATAGAAGTTTTAATTCAGTTGAATAATCAAAAATATACAATGACTCAAAATGATCTAACAAGTTCTCCTAGTTTGACCCCCTTGGGGTGTGACGCCCTTTTGGCCTGTTTTTTCAAATTTATGCCTGCGGCGCAGAAACTTTGGCTAAAAAAGGGACTTTTTAATGCTTTGGAGAGCTCTCGGAAAACCAATTTGGTCGACCTAAAAAAAGGTCGACAAAATTTCGAAAATTTTTGAAAATCTGCCCCCCTCCTCGAGAAAATCCTAGATCCGCCCCTTGGTGTGATATATTTAGCGTGATTGTTGAGTTATTTTTGCAAATTGACATCTATTAGACTGAAAATGCTTATCATACAATTCCTTACAAGGAATCTATTGAAGATTGCTAAAAACACAAAATACCTCTATGGAAAATATATGGCCAAAAAATCTTTCTGGCTAACCAAGTCAATGATAATTTTAAGCAAGGATAGTCAATTGCTTGTGCAAAAGTGTTCCGACCGCATTTACAAATATGAAACAAAAATTTAGATTCGTTTTTGTGTTACTTTAATAAATTTTTGTGTCAATTTTTGTGCGTGGTGTGATAAAAAGAAAGAACGAAAGCTTACAATTTTAGTAAACCAATCATATTCAACTACAGTTGTCTAATAAAAAGAATATCCAGCTAGAGCAATTTTACCAATTCCCATCTGAAAACGGTTTGGAATGATTTTTGTGTTTTAGCGAATAAAATCTTTCGAGGTTTGTAACTATTATCATCGCGTTGGAAACATTATGTAAATCAGATAGGCTGTTGAAATCTAAACATATCGTAAGCAGTTGTGTGATGAGTTCTCTTCCCAATCAATGAAAATGTGGTAGTATTTTTTTCTGTAAATCTGACATATTGATTTAACGCGAATGATTTCATTATAAATATGATTTCACAAAAGTCATTTTAGTTCCAAAAACTGAATTTTCACAATGCGAAAAACAAAGTTAAAAGATGCTTTGATCAAACTGAAAAACTTTTTTCATTTCATTTAAAAATTTAAAAAAGTCTTTTTTAACAGTCATCTTTGACGCGACATCAAAGATGGTTGTTAAGAAAAGCTTTTTGAAATTCTGAAAAGGAGCAGAGTCGGAGTACCCCCACCTCGCCCGTGTCGCCCGGCTTCTCCTACCTATTCAAGCTACAAGCGCTCAGAGCAAGCGTGACTTTAGCCGGACTGGGCAAATCCGAACAGCCAAGCGTGCCCTCCTTTCTGCGGCAAAAGTCAGCCAAATCGAACAGTTAGGATCGGCTGCAGCCAATGGACTTATTAAATTTTGATTTTTTTTTGGAAAATTTTCAATTTACTTTTTGTTTGGAAAATAATATTTTCACTAAAATCGGGCCCTGTTCCAATTCTTTCGATGTCATATTCAGTTACATTTAACTTCAATTGAGATTTGAAAAGCAACCAATATCAGAAAAATTGTCAAAAATTTAAGGGAAACCAGACAACTTTACAGTCATCAGTATCCATAAGAAAAAATATCTAAGGTTTCGAATTACAGCACGTAATAAACAGCCAGTTGAACAGTGCCAATAAACCAAAGAAAAAACTGATTGTCGAAAATTTTTGATTGAAAAATTATGATCTTAAATTTTTTGAGTTTCGACATTTTTATTTTTGAAAATACATTGATACGCACAAGCAATGCTTTTTGCGAACATATGCGACATGCGATAAAAAGCCAAGAATTAACTTTAAAAAGGTAAAAAAAGATAAAAATAAGCAAAAAGGCAAGGAAAGAAAAAATTTATAAGATATAAAAATGCCTCTACAAGTAACAAACCCCAAGCCTCTAGCAACAAATTTGACTTCAACAACGGTGCCACATACACTTCCGAAAACAAAAAACATAGTCTATAATAAATTAAGTAGACAACAAGCTAGTAAATTGCGAATTTTATGCAATAAAAAACACCAAAATGATTTTTTTTTCATTTGGAGTTGGATACGAGTCCTAATATAACGGAACGGAATACTTCCATGCTCACTAGCGCAATCAATATGATAGGCAAATTGATTCTTTTTTATTCATCTAGAAATTGAATTACAATAAATTGAAGCAAACAAAAAAAGTTGGATTCTAAAAGGAATTCATAGCGAGAAAAACCAAGATCGTAACTAATGAATTTTTTGATGAACAAAAAACAGTGTGAGAAAAAAATAAAAAAAATGAAAGATCGAAGCAAAGTTCACAAGGTTTTCAGGCGCTGTTTTAAATTAATTTTAAAAATGATTTCGTGATTGCGTATTTTATGACATTGAATTCTGCTTTTAAATTTCGAAGTTTATGGCAGTTCGTTATTCTTTGTTGACTTGTAATTTCCAAAAATTACCGCTAATTTATATATGAAATGAATTGTTGTCAATCAGCCAGCTATCTACATCAGAACTGAAACGAGGCTGAAATAGAACTCAAAAATCAAACCTCTAAAAACCACATAACAGCATTCATTAAATTTATTAAGTCAACCAAGGCAAGAACGAGCCCTAAATAAGTTCTTCACTTCGTCATTAAAACTTCAAATGTTTTATAATTTCAAATTTTAGTTGATATGTTATATGTACTAGAGTGCGCTGAGCTAGCCGATAAGAAGTGTGGGTATCCATTGATTAGGCTCACATAACTGTTCTGATGACCTCTTATAATGGTATCTAGTCTCTTACTAGATTACTTAAGACCATTTATCCGCGAACGAAAGGAACAACATATGAGCTGTGCAGCTCATCACGGCGAATCGCTATTGCGCTCCTGCTTAAGAACTACAAGCAATTTTTTTGGCTATCTGTGCTGAGTAATGTTGCTTCACCATCAAGCAACGAGCACGGATCATGGTGGTCATCGAACATCCGACATTTCAATTGAGAGGCGGAGACGTAACAACTTGAGATTATACTAGTTTGGAATTGGTTTTTCGACGTTGATTGAAAAATGAGTTTTGGTGTTTTGAAGAACAGCTAAAAACCTAAGTGAATTGCAATTATGCCAAACCAAAAATTAAATAATTGATTTCAAAAATTGATTTTTTGTTTTAAATAGTACATCTTTCTGTAACATTCAGTCAAAAAAAATAAAAAATCAGAGTAAAAGGTTATTAACTTCAAAAACTTCAGAAAAACGGTCACTTTTAGAAAAAAAACGTGGAAATAGAAGAAACTTTGCCTCTGATTTTTCTGAAGTTGGAAAAAACTCTGAATAATTAAAATCAACACCATACTTAACAAACATAAATATCAGAAAGTAGGAAACGTGTCAATGAACTCGAAGAAACGTGGTCTCTTTGAACAGTTTTTAGGTTTCGATTTTCGAAGACAAAAAAATAATCTAATGAAGCTCTATAAAAATTGAGAACATTTTATTAAACTGACTTTTTTGTGAACCAATTCAACAAAAAAAGATCTTTAGTTAGTAATTTTTACTCCGCTGGGAAATCTAAAATTTAAAGACCACTTGTGAACCATACAAAACATCCACACGTTTTTTCGCATGAATTTTGTCTTTTGTTATTAAAGAACTTTCAGTGAAAATTTGAAGAGCAAAATGCTTGTGTATATTCAATATGGAGTGACGAAAATTCTTATGGCTATCCAAGTATAGGGCTCTAGGAAATATCTTCACATATCAGTGTGTAACCTTCTTCGATCTGCGATCTTATTAAAAAGAGTCGCCTAATTACTTTTACTTTCCATTTATTTAGTTCTGCAAATTTTTTTGAGTTGCATTATCTTGCGAACTACCCTTTTCAAGTTAATGCAATGTCAATGTTCTCAGAAAGTTTAGTAAATTGACGTGGCTTTCAACATCTGTGGAATCTGTTATTTCGAAGGTCAACAGGTTTCGGAATGAAAGTCTTGGCCACTATAAATTTTCCTCAATTGCTTCGGAAAAAAAATTCTGAAGTTCCATCGTTCCTCAATTTTTTTTTCCACTTCAGAAAAAAATATTGCAGTTCATTTGGTCATTTATTTCGCATTTTTCCACGCTCATATAAGTTTTCTTTTAAAAATGCTGGTCACAAGTTGCTAATTTTGGTCTCAAAATTCATTAATTTAAAGAGCAAAAATCTAAAGAAAAAAGCGATCATTGACATTCCGAACTTTCACCATAAGTTGGAACAACAAAAGGAGTGTTTTTTTTCAAACAATAGATTTTCTTTAATCCATTAGCGATGTCGAATTTGTTTGCAAACAGCATAATTTTACAATTTACGTCGTTGCCATTTTTTTCAAATGTTAAATTGTCTCGACCGGTGGTATAATTCTACATACGACCACAATAAAATTGTATTACCGGCAGGAGGAAAAGTTATAAATTAGTTATAAATTATGGATGGATCGGATTATGGATCCATTAAAATTATAACTTTTCATTAAAATTAGCAACTGTATCGCGTGTTTCTCTGTCCAGCGATGGTAAAAGAATTTATCAATTTTCCATCGGAAGGGAGGGAGGGGCTTTTGAAATGTTTTTATAAACTGGAGGTGGGAGATTAAAAGACGTGAACCGAAAATCATCTCAAGCTGAATTTTGTTAAGGTTATGAGTGGTTATAACATATTATATGGAGTTCCACTTGTATAAAACCGACAGGCATACTAGTAAAAACGAATGTTCACAATATTTTTGTTAGGCTTGAAAGGTTTCAAGATGTCTACAAAACTCAATCGTCTTCAAGATTTCTCACAATTACAAAAACAAGTCATTCTTTTTTTCTGCGCTATAAACCACATGGAAACGCAAAAGTAACAAAAAAGTAGAAAAAAAATAAACTCGTTTAAAAGAATAATCAAAAAATGGAAAATTTTAAAAAAGGCAAAAACGGAATACTAACCACTGTATCCGTCCCTGCAATGACACTTCGGAATCCTCTCTCCCCGTCCCCCTCCCCCTCCCCCACCCTCCAGCAGTTGTCCCCCCTGTTGGGTATCAGTGGTGGGGGTGAGGAGTACGCAGTTTCCTCCGTTGAGACAGGTCTTAGAGAGACACTTGTCCTCGTATTGACATCTGGGACCGAAGAACCCGTCCTCACAATAGCACTGAAATAACAATAAAGTGACTTTCTCGGAACTTACATTAGATGTACACACTGTGGCGATAACTACGAGCTGTTAAAATGCAGGAAATAATATACCAAAATACTAATTTTGAAGGGGAGCGGGCGCCGAAAAAATGCGACTTTTTGGTCAAAACCTTCCAAAAAAAGGCTAAGAACACCTTTTTTGGCCTGTTTTTTCAATTTTTTGCTTGCGGTGCAGAAATTTGGCGAAAGCCGGGCCTTTTTAGTGAATTAAAAGAACTAAGAACATCATTTTGGCCGACTTAAAAAAAGGTCGAGAAAACCCTCCCCTTCAAGAAAATCTAGATCCGCCTCCCATATATATATTAATATAGATCTGAGAAACCAGAACTGATTCAGAAACTAACTTTAACATCACATTTTCTTTCGAATAGTATATCCTATTTTCACTTTCTTATCACAATAGAAAACAAAATTCGAAACCTATCTATAAAAAAACATCTATCAATTATTGTTCTTTTCTCGCAAAAATCAAAACAAAATGATGTACTCATTCGAAAAAGATGATTCTGATGTCCTGTTTCATATACATCAAAAAATTTTTGCATGTCATTTAGATTTTAGCTTTGGGTTCAATTCAAAAACTGAGGTGAATTGTAACATCTAAAAGTTCCAGTTCATAAGTCACTTGGTTTCAATTTTTATAGAACTGTTTAACATAGGCAGGCAGATGAGGCTTGAACTAGGTTTTATAAGGTTTCAGCTGGCTGAGTTTCTGGTTAGTACAGTTTTATTGTATTGTGGAACTAAATTTAAATATACAAAAAATTCATTGAGGAGACAAAAACATGCTTTAAAGTTATTGTTTATAAAATTATGCCATACACTCAACTGTTGAATTGTGACCGCAAATCGTTGTAAAATCTTCGTAGTGATCACAAAGTAAAAATACATCCAAAGACAAAAATCAATTCATTCAAACTTACAAAATCAATGCAGCAGAAGCGATGAGTTTGTTCAACTTAAATTTTTTGTTTTCTGATATTGTTATGGACAAAATTGCAAAAAAATAGTCCCAAAAATTCAGCTTCAATTAGATATGTGATTTTTTGTAGAAAAATATTTTCGGAAACTATCGGCCTGCGGAACAAAAAACGGTTCGAAAAACCTCGACACAAGCAGAGCTGCAATTTGCTCGAAAAAAAATTTTCGATAATAATTTTTTTATACAAGAGAAATTTGCAGTACAATTGACTCGAATTTTTGAGAGGCAATTGTCTCCTGAATTCAAAAAAAAAGCAATTAAAAATTTCTCCCAGTTGAAAAATACGTATTAAAGCAAAAATTACGATATTTATATCTATGAGTTTAGGTTGGCTATCGAGGCTAACTTGATGTCCCATTTGAAATAAAAGGAATTTTTCATCGTATATGAAACAACTTCAATCCAAAAAAAACTATAAAAAAAGAGAGCAGCAAACATTCATGAAGCTGATTTAAATTATGCCAAAAAACTCGAAGTTTTGAACTCGTCTTTCTTAATTTGAGTTGTTATTCGCCAAGAAAATAAACAAACAAAATTCTTAGGTTGTCTACCTAAAATAGATAATCAATTTGCATAGTATATTGCAGTTTGGTCTGCCGTTCAATCTAAATCTAACAAAAAATATCTATCGTGTTTTAAAATTTGTTGGAGTTCTTATCCTTCAGAAGCTTAGTTGGGCGACAAAACAGATTCAATTTGACATAATTTTCCCAAAAATGACCTCATGGCATAGGCAAAAATTTGAATGAACAAAAAGATCGAATGAAAAGACACGCGTCTGGGGTGAAAGTATAAATTGCAAAGCCATTCAAAAGCAAGACTACCAATTGCTTTTTATAGTCGAGAGTTTTAAGAACTTGAAAAGATCGAATTCAGTAATAAAATTAGTAAATGCTTCGTTTGTCAGATTTGGATTTTTCAATCAGAATCGCTGTTTGATTTTTCACAGCTATTGTTAGGTTTTATGGTACTTATTCGACCCTCAGCTCTTGGTATTTTGTAATTAAGTTTTCTCTCAAGCGTGAATCTCGTCTGAGACATATCTGACGTTTCTGACAGTTTTGTGGTTGATAGAATATGGTCTTAAAAAAGAGATCGAATTGAAAAAAAAAGAAAACTATACAGATTAGAGTGACTGCAATTTTCAATCAATTTACCTTATTAAATTTGTCTATTTCTTAGACAATTAACTTTGTTCGATGACTTGCCGAACGCTTTTTTCCTCGCCTAATTAGCCCAACTTATTAAGGTAGCAAAATTTTAAAACTGACAAAAATAATGTCTCAAGGTCGCTTTAAATTTCAAGATTGCTAAAAACCATGTGTGCAAAAGTGGCAGATTGCACTGTTTAATTATTTCTTTCCGTTCTTTTTGCACTTCAGAGAAACCTTGAACAAAGTTAGGGAGTAAATTTTATACTCATAAAAATTTTGAATAAAGTTTGAGAGAAATAAAAGGTAGAAAATCTTGTCTAAATGAACAAAATTTGAATTTAATGAAAAAATTTCTTTAAAAGTACAACTTATTCAACAGCCTTGGTTCAAATCACAGTTTGCGTTGTTCAAATCAGAAATCTTTCAGATGTGTCGATACGCTTTGTTATGTTTAATTTTGATATTTTGCTTTTCAAACTTGAAGATCCAATTTTCTTTTTTTTTTGAAAAAAAAATTGATACTTCTGAACAAACTACGAACTGAAACTGTAAAGCTGGAAACTGGGAAATACATCCGCTCGAGAAAAACATGAACATGGATTTGAGAGTTGCGCTCAGGTTATTTTTGTTTTAGGTTACGCTTTTCTTACACCGGCGCTATAATTTTTACATTTGCTCGGCGGTGCGAGATATTAAACTCAAAAGTAATGATAGATTTAGATTGAATCTTTTGTTACGCGGAGTCCAATAAAAGGGATTTGAGTTTGATTGACGGCTCAAGACAAAACACAGCGCGTATTCGACTTTTTATGCTGAATTGAAACGTCGCCGTACATTCTATTTTTTATTGTTTCCAGAAGAGGGATGCTCATATAAACAATATTAAGTTTGGCCCAAATGGTAAGATTACATTGAACCTAAAGCTCGCGAAGCAGAACCAACCGAATTTTTAATGTTCCGTTTGTTTCAATTTCAACTTGAAAACCCAACTTGAAAACCTATCTGGATTTCAATTTGAAAATTCAACTGAACTCAATTTGAAAATTCAACTGGAACTCAATTTGAAAAATCAACTGGATTTCTATTTGAAAATTGATATCGTCAGAAATTTTTTTTTAACTAAAGGGTTGAAAACAAACCCAAGTGCTGCCAAAATCCGGTTCCTTGAGAATTATTAGAAACATACTTCAGTGAACATTCTTCAAAACATTGAAAATAAATTTTTAAAGCATCGTTTAACCTTTTTTTTAAATATCCTGAGGACATCTTATTGAGTTTCGACTCAGAAACTTGTAGGTCCGAAGAGCAGGGTCTTTTTAAAAGCTGTAGTGATTGCAAATGTAGATCGTCAAAATAATAAAAAAAACTGAGAGAAAAAAAAGAAAAAAGAGAGAGTCAAATGTCTGAAGGAATTATAAATTATACTGGAGAAACTTACAGTTCAAATCAACCATCAAAAATGGAAATGATTTTTGATAAATAATTGCTTAACCTGGCACGGATTAAATGGTATCGTTTTCTTTACACCGCAAATATAATCTTTAATGCTAAGCTTAAAAATGGGTGGGGGGGGGGTTAATTAGGAGAAAGTCGGCATTAGCATAAAAAAAGAACTTGCATTCGAAAAACTAGAACGGCTTCTCAATAATTTTTTTTGTGATCGTATGGATCAAAAATCAACGATCGCCGCAGAGCCAAAAAATCAATTATTGCCGAAAAGTAAGCCTTTAGTATTTGAAAAAAAAGTAACAGACCTTTGCATTTGCTTGTGATATTCTTCTGCAATCGCCACGACGAGAACAAATTTCAGGTTCATTGCACGGGTTGATATTTTCACACCTGTTTCCTTCATAGGGCGGGAAGCACTGGCACACTCCTTGTTTATTACACCGTCCTCCATTGAAGCAATCTGCGTCCCCGTTGCACGCAACCCCCATCGGAATGCTCGACTGGTCGTTCGGGCGACAGACCGCGTGACCGGTTGTCGTGTTGAGACACGAAAACAGGTTCGGACATGTTTTCGGGTCTCGGCACGGGTCGATGTATTCACACCTGTACCCCGAAGCATAGTCGTCTTTACATTTACACTCGTAAATTCCCAGTCGGTCGTCCCGTGGAACACATAGACCATCGTTCAGGCACGGTTTTGATGCACAAGGGTCGAACTTGTCACAATCGGGACCTGAATACCCGTTAACGCATCGACATTGATACCCGTTGTCTGCTGTCGCTTCGCAAAACCCGCCATTCTGACAAGGATTCCGAACTTTGCACACATCGTAATGTTCACACCTTTCGCCGTAATAACCGAGCTGACAATCGCACGTTGCTCTTTCGTGCCCTTTGAAGGTGCAAGAACCTTGCCCGCAATAGTTTTCCTTCTTGCAAGGGTTTAGAATCTCACAGTTTTTGCCCTCAAAATTCGCGTCGCAAAGACACAAATAGTCGTTTTCCGAATTGTTATCACTCGTAATATTACGACACGCGCCACCATTTTGGCAAGGACTTTTATGACACTGGTTATAAAACTGGCAATTAGGGCCCCAAAATCCGGAGTTTTCGACGCAAGAACAGGAGTAGTTTTTGTGGCCTAAGTAGGTACATTGGGCTCCATTTTGACATGGGTTCTGGGCAATACACGCATTGAGATCTTCGCAGTTGTTTCCACTCCAACCTTCATCGCACAGACACGTGAACGGCTCTTCGCTTTTGGCGTTGTTTGTGTCTAGTTTACACTCACCGTGGTTGTTACACATGTTGTCTTTGGCACAATAGTCGCTGAAACAAAACAAAATTTTATGAGAAAGTTACAAAAATTTATAAACAAGTTTTTTAAAAGACAGTAGGAAGTTTTGAAAAAAAAAAAGAAAATTGAATATCAAAAATTAAAAATTTAAATGAAAAATTGATCACTGGAATGATTATTGAGCTGCAATTAAAATACGGTTAACTGTTTTTTAACCTTGTATAACACTCAAATAACTGAATTCACTGCCTTTTAACATTGCAAAGTAATTTTCAAATAGTTGGCTACCAACTCAATATTCAAAATTCAATATTCAAGCTAGCAATTAGAAAACGAGACGGAAACAACAAAGCTTTGAGAGAAAATGGAAATTTCAGAAAACCTTACTTCAGAAAAATAATTTCAGAAAAACTGCCAAAAAACACAACCAGCAGTGTTGAATAAATTTTTTGGGTTAACTGAACGGCCACTAGCCAATAAAAAGCCCATTGAGTCGCAAACAAAAACTGCCGAGAGAAATTGTTGCCAAACTTCTTTTGAGTAGTTAAATTTTAGGATTTTGGATCACAAACTACGTGCACTTTTTGAAAAAAAATCAAACAATCAAATTTTGCCTTTGAAACAGCACAAAATCAAAAAACTAAGCTGCTAAAACAAAAACCGAGACCATTCAGGCCGAGTAAAGCTTTTAGGCAAAAAGAAACCAAAAGAAAACCAAGGAAAGTATACAACGCTAAGGCTGATAATTATTTCGAGCTCCAGGAGTAAATCAAAACAAGTGATTGTTCGTTGAAAATTGGTGACAAAACAAGAAAATTGTCGGTTTAGTTGGGCGACGTGACAGTAATACAACAAAACATAAGCAGACAAACCAAAGACAGAAATTTCGAAATTTCCAGGAAAAAAAGTCAATTCCATACAAACTGAAAAAACCAGGTTACATTTTGACTGGTATATCATTCAATGAAAACATTGCATTGTTTAGTATTCACTGCGCTAGTAAAGAGGTGAAAACTTTAACAAAATTGCTCGTTTTAGATCAGATCAACGCACTCAAAGTTGCGAATGTCCCTTAAGTTTTGGCAAATACTGATACAATTTTCAGAAAAAAAACTATTGGTTTTGAAAAATTTTCTATTCTCAAATCCATTATGAACTGGAAAACAAAAATAAACAAAATAGGATTGGCGGTTGCTGTGCAAGTTGCACAGAATGTTCAGACCACATTCTCGGACTTTTTTCTTTTTTCCCAATTTTAGATTAGTTTCTCTGCAGTGTCCTGTGATGATAGAACTATAAGAAAGCGTAGAAAAATAGTGAATTAAGCAAAGACTACAATTGCCTCAAAAAGTACAATTGCCTCAAAAAATAAGTTGACATGAATGAAAAAAAAATTGTAAAAAAATATTTTAGTTTTTTTTCTCGCATTTTTGCACTAGAAATTTTAAATGTTTGTAAATATCTTTCTTTTTGACGGAAAAGCGCTAAATTAAATTTCCAAAACTATTTTTCTCTACATAAAACCATTTTTTTTTCTAATTTGCTAGCATTTATATAAACAAGCTTTTGCTCGATCACTTCACTCGCTCGTTATTTAACTAAAACTCAAAAGCTTGTGTTTTTCTCACCATTGGCACAACTCCATGTAATTTTAATGTTGCTCCATTTATGAGTAGCACTAAATGAATTTTACCAGAGAAGCGCTAAATGAAGCTTCGAAACTAGTTTTTTTTTGAAATAAAATCAATTTTTTGAGCCTAAAGTGCAAAACCTTTTAGCCACTTTTTGTCGACATTGGAGAAGTTTTAATTTTTTTTCTATAGCCATTTCCATAAAAAAAATCAGTAAAAAAATATATTACTCGATCACTTCTCTCAGTTTGATGATTATTTGTGGTACCTGATCTTGCGTTGAAAACAAGAAATAAAGTATTTGAAATACAACTGAGTTCAAAGTTTCTCCCCATTTTCAATGGTAAAAACAAAAGTGCAAATCTACGTCCACATCATTCTAATCAATCAGTTCAATGTAGAAGCCTGACGTTTTTGCAAATTTGAAAGCCTTCTGAGCCGGATTGATTCGGATTAACTGAGCCGGATTATCTGAGCCGGATTATAAGAATTGAAAAAATCTCGCAACATTTATTTTAAAAAACGTAATTAACAATTTTAAAACCCCATGGCCTTGAAGATATTTGGTCACAGGGGGAGACCAAGTTAACAATATCTTTCAGAGTGTACAAAAAGTTGTTAGTAATATTATCGATGTTTGCCTGGAGTAAGAAAAAAGTCGAGCTCAAACATTTCGTTATTTTCTCTTAAAATCCGAACAAAAAAACCTCGGCAAACAGATCAGTATTGCTTTTTTGTGTTTTGTCAATATTTGACGTTTTTTGAGACAAAAAAATGAAGTCACGCTTGTGAATATTTGAAGACTGATAATAGATAACACGGAAAAAAATTTACTTTTTGCCAATTAGCAGCATAGATATTAAGTTTGAAAGTTCGCATGCTGTATACGAATCTGAAGACAAAATGAGCTTGAGACCACTTTTTCTCGACTAAGTTTCATTTTTAGAATCTCATTTATGAATGAAGTGGCAACATAATGATATAAAACTTGAACATCTATGTGTCTGAGAGTCTTTTAAAGCTCTTAAATTGCACCGACAAAATTCAACTTATTTTTTAGTTACTTCCTACATCGAGACATGATTATAACAAGAAAAACCAGTTTTTAAAAAAATCTACATAACTATCATCTAAATTACATATATTTTTCATTGGGTAGCAGGGTTTAATTTAAAATCCAATATCAATAATAAATTTTTATAAACAATGTAAAATTTTTCGAAAAGCAGATTGGATGGGTTTTTGAGACTGTGTAATACATAATCCAATCTTCGCTGCAAATCGGTCTGAAAAGCAAAAACGTCTCTACAAAATAGAAATTCGCCATAAGCGTTATTTTTCGTTCCCATCACATTCCTAGCGAGCAATTGTAACAAGTAGTATTAGCGATACTGCAAAATGATACTTAAAAACTGGGCAAAAGGAAATTTTGATTCTCAATCAACCTACAAGAAGTATTTAGAAGAAAGTTTTTAAGCGATTTTCAAAAAAAAAGAAAATAAATTTGTTTGCCCTAAGAATTGTGTTTCATCCCAAATCTGCGGCAGGGTAGCCCAAATAGAACGAGAATTTTATCAACATTTTTTTCTAGATTTAAAATAGAACTAGAAGATGCATTTGAACTGATATTTACGTAGCTGAATCATTGTTTCCGCTGAAAAAAGATGTATTTTTAACTGCTTATAGCTTCGGAGACAAAAATTCTAGCCTGAAAAGTTTTTTTCCTTCTTTGAACTTTTTTCAGCATACTTTTCCTGCAATTAAAAGCCTACAAAAGCCACTAAAATGCATCCAAGGATTAAACTGAGACTCATCATTTAGTTAAAAGTGATTTCTGTACATAACATCACAATAAACATCACAATAATATTTTTTGAGATCCTCAAGCTAAAAACCGCTGATTTCAGAAAGATTTGTAGAAACTTCACGCGCAACGAGCAGCGCTGAACAATTTTTTTAAACTATACTGTTCACAATTAAGATGGCCTTCTGGCATGATAAATTCGAATTAAGAATTTTTTGTTCATGAAAAGAGTTTGTTTTCATTTCTTTCTCAGGGGTTGCTGTTCACCATTTGATTATTTTTGTACGGTTCAACAAAAACAAACAACGCAAACAACAGTTGTCCTGTCAATTGTTGACACCCGAAGTGACATTTTGAGTAACTCAACAAAAAGAAATCAGCCTTGGGTGGAAAAACAGAGAAAACGAAAAAACTATTTTTTTATTATGGGTGGCGGGGTAAAAAAATATAACACGTGGGTTATGTGCTTAGAAAATAGGAAAACCGCGAATCGAACAAACAAATAATCGGTATATACTAGATGAAAAATTGAACAAAATATTGAAAGAAAAAAAAAGAAATATTCCTTAGAAAATAGGAAAGCCGCGAATCGAACAAACAAATAATCGGTATATACTAGATGAAAAATTGAACAAAATATTGAAAGAAAAAATTATTTGCATACTATCCTTCAATCAATATTGTTGCGTTTTTACTCCAAAGGAACATCAGAGAGAAAATTGTTTCAGCCTTAAGGAAATTAGCGCATTAAAATTTCATACAACATACATTTTGCAAATAGGTTGGAATAGAAAATAAATTTTACAGGTCAGTCCTAAAGCAGACCAACTTTATGCAGCAATTTTTCCAACATCCAAAAAGACAATATTTTGAATAATTTTAAAAACTGAAATAGATTTCAAATTGAAAAGGGTGAGAATTACAAAATTAAAGGTGCGGTTATTGAAAAAACCGTTTGATTAAATTTTTGTATCTACTTAACAATCAACCCCCCCCCCTCCTGTTCAGTAAAGAGGGGCCATTATTAAGTAGATTAAGTTGGTCTTAGGGGGGGTCGATTCTTCAGTAAAGGGGGGGGGGGGGGGCGATTCTTCAGTAAAGAGGGGAGGGGGGGGGCGGCGGCGGCTATTATTGAATAGCTTCAAATTTTCAATTAATTGTATTTTTGAGATGATTTTGGTTTAAATGAATAGATAATTTATAACTTCATGCTCTTGGATTTTTTCAAAAAAGCAGCAAAACTATTTCTTAAGTTCTTGCATGTAGTCCCGTGTGTCCGTTGATGAAGATCATCAACAAAATAAACAAAAACAAAAGAACACAAAACATGCATCAGTTATTTGTAATATATTAGCAACTATGTGGTATAAATTGAAATTTTGTTTACAAATTTGGTAATCCAACAATGCTAGGGGCGGGGGAGGAAACGAGAATGAGACTAATGTTATTTGCGATTTCCGACTTTTCCCAGACTCCGATTTTCGTTTAAATCCCTGGAGTATGAAAAATACTCGGCTTGCTAACCCGATATATAGGGTTGTAATAAATACTTGCCACCAGTGGTATACACAAATGATTTTTGACGAGGGGGAAGGGG